AACTGGAAATTTGGAAATTATACTCCTACACCAAAGTCCAGGTTATTTATGTAGATCAGAAACAGCAGTGGATCCAATACCGACCCATGGGGGATACCGGTGAACACATCTCTCTCAGCTTTCTGTCTCCAAGCCAGTTCTGTATCAATGCTACTGCTGTGCATTTGATACCGTGGGGTTCCATTTTGCTTAAAAGTTTCTTATGTGGCACTTTACCGAACACCTTTGAGAATCCATATAAACTACATCAACTGCACTACCTTCATCCACACTCTCCAATCGTTCATCAACAGACTCTATCGGGTTCTTCAGGTCCGATTTGTCTTTAATAAACCAATGTTGACTGTCCTTTATTAACCCATACTTTACTAAGAGAAATGTTATATTATCCCGGATTATAGTCTCCAGACGTTTCCCTCCCACTGACGTCAGTGTGACTAGCCTTGTTTAACATTCTTTCCCGGGTTTTTCCTGGCATTCACGCTGGCCCAGTCCAGCTCCATGCCATCCGCAGTGACAAAAACACACACTTCTCCAGATCAGCCCCATGCCACCAACACATATTTCCTCAACTGAGCACCATGTCATCAATAATAATAATAATAATAATCCTTGCATTTAATATAGCGCTTTTCATATCGGGAGATCGTCCCAAAGCGCTTCACAGAACAAACTGTTAAGTGAATTGACTGCATATTTGTGGGCGAACGCGGCAGCCAATTGCGCACAGCAATGTCCCATCAACAGTCGTAGATTGAAAATGAACAATTGATTATTGTTTTTGGTTTTGGAGGGATTATTATTAGGCTCTGTGTGGAGTAAGGAAACTTGCCCGAGGTTTCGCCCTCTGCCTGGAATTGAACTCAGGTCTCTCACTTGTAAAGCGAGTGCTCTAACCACTGAGCTACAGGTCTGCACTAATCAACACTGATACACATTCACATCTATAGCCCAGCATCTTGCCACCAACACTGACACAGTCACACTTTACCAGCTCAGCCCTATGCTACCAACACTGCCACACGCAGACATGTCTAGCTCAGCACCATGTAACCAACTCTGACACACCCAATTCCCCAACTCAGCCCCATGCCACAGACACTAACGCACACTTCACCAACTAAACTGCATGGCACAGACACTGACACACACTTCACCAGCAAAGCCCCATAGTGTCCTCAACTACACTAAACCACACACACTTCACCAGCTCAGCACCATGGTGCCCTCACCAACACTGACACCAACACACTTCACCAGCTCAGCCCCATGGTGCCATCACCAACACTGACACCAACACACTTCACCAGCTCAGCACCATGGTGCCCTCACCAACACTGACACCAACACACTTCACCAGCTCAGCCCCATGGTGCCATCACCAACACTGACACCAACACACTTCACCAGCTCAGCTCCATGGTGCCATCACCAACACTGACACATACATCACCAGCTCAGCTCCATGTCACCAACGCTGACACACGCACACTTCACCAGTTCAGCACCGTGTCACCAACAACGACACACAAAAGCTCCATCAGCTCAGCCCCATGGTGTCTTCATCAACACTGAGACACACATCACCAGCTCAGCTCCATGTCACCAACAATGACACACACAAACTCCATGAGCTCAGCCCCATGGTATAGTCACCAACGCTGACACACAAAGATAACCAGCTCAGCTCCATGTTACCAACACTGATACACACACTTCACCATCTCAGCTCCACGTCATCAACAATGACACACATATATTTCCACAACTAACCCCCAAGTCACAACACTGACACAGACAAACACTTCACCAGCTCATCCCCATACCACAAACACCAACATACACACACCCTTCAACTCAGTCCCATGCCACCAACACTGACAAACACACACATACTTCACCAGCCAGGTTGTCACATGTTGAACCTGGATATCCCACTCCACGCCACCATTGCCTACAGTTCCCATGCCCCTAACTATGGCCCTCTCTCTCTTTAAATCCATTTCACACTTTCTTTCTCTGCTGTTCAGTCCGCCTCAATTCCTCGTCACTTGTACTTGTGCATGCAACAACCCCCCGCCCCCCTCCCCCCACTCTGCATTTTGTGTAATCTAACAGCTTCTTCTCCTTCTCCACACAAACACATCAGAGCTTCTTCTTGAAACTTCTACTTTTCACCATCTACATGCTCCCCTTTGTTGACATAATCCAGAGACGTGGATAGCACTGACATATGATATGGAGGAAACACAACTCTACTCTTCACCATAGACTCGGGTACCATTACTGCTCTGACTATTAGACATCAAATGCTGATTGATATCGATCTATCTTCAGTTGAATATTGTCAAGAGGAAGGCTCACCTGTTTGAGTCCTGACAGTGCCTACTGACCCTGGGTATTGACGGCATCAATCTGCATGAAAGCTAAATTCACCTTTCTGAGCAATGAGAAGAACATTGTCTTATTCCACCTTAACTGTCCTTTAATCCATGTATATTGGCTCTCACTCACTCTTGGCTTTCGGTCAACTCTATAATATTGCTTACCTGCAGCTGCACATCTTACACCCCCTCCCCTGGGGTGTCCAAGTACATATATACATATTTATTGTATTGGGGCCAGGCTTTATGAACCCTTACTCAATGGCATTCAAAAACGTCTCTACTCAAACTGCAGACCATAAAAAATGGCAGCTTTCTTGCGATCCTGCACCAGGCACTATATCTGTATCATTATGTCCTCCCAACATGAATGGCGCTGTACAAATGTGATTTTGTATTGCACTACCATCATCCTCTCGCTCCACTCGTTCCTGTAGCATTTGTTAAGGATTATCCAAACCAGACTGAGAATGCTTCCGCCCACCAACATATCAAACACACTTTGCTTAGAATGGAATGGCCCAGAGGCATATCTACTTTTAACCTTATCCCTGAAAGTATTAAACACAAATTGGCAAGAGTCAAAGCGTGGGTACCTCATTGGGTATGGTTATGGATAGGGGACATTGATGGAGTTTACCCAGCTCAAAATGTGTGGCTTGAATTTAGAGCACTGTTTAGAAAGCTTTTCTTACCGATTCAATTCAGATCCGTGTCCCCTTGTTTCCATCTCTGCATGGATCGTCCATTCTATCTCTGTAACGTTTTTCAAACCCATTGCCCCAGCTGCTCTGTCCATTCTGGCTCATGTATACTCTATGTCCTATGCCTGATGCTCCCGAACATCAGTGGATAAGCTTTCATCTCCTCTTTCCCAGGTCTCGAACTCTGCTCCTGAGTCGTTTGGCATTGCTCCTCTGACAACGCAAAACACCCCAAGTACTGCATTGGATTCTCATCTTAGACGATGTTACTTCAGTTCCAGACTTGTGTTTAAACCCACAGCTTTCTAACACAGATGAGAGAGTGCCAGCACTGAGCCAGGCTATCACATGCTGTACATTGCCCTGTAACGTGCAGGTGGTGCTGAGTACCTTTAGTAATCTCTTTTTTGAGCAATATAACAATTCACTCTACCCTATACAGTTCATCTTACAATATGTATCTTGCACAGCCAATTATAGTTTAAGCGCTCTGGGACGCTGCCCTGCGTGAGCGGTGCCATATAACTGCGAGTTGTTGTTCTAGTTATTTCTCTTCCCCAACCACTCAGCTTCCTCTCCATCATCAGACGAAAATCAGTGTGAGAGTCCCACCTGCAATTTCAACCTTGCCTTTGATGTATTTCAGCAACCTGCCAAATTCCACTGTTTTAAGTGCTTCAATCTCGTGTATGTACTCTTTGAACCCTCATTTAAGTAATAATCAGTGAAACGTTATCAATGCAAACAGGCAATGTTGCCTTTTATGGATATTTTCAGGTAATATAACTGGGTGTTGGACTCTAGACTTGGAATCAAAAAGATCAGTCAAGTTACACTGACCTCCTTAAAAGTCAACGACATGAGAGCCATCTTAACAAAATCATATTTGCTTATGGGGAAAGAGAACGAAAATGGAGGGATTCAGTCGAGAAGGTTATGGTTGAGCATCAAATCTGATTTTCCACACAGTGAAAGCTAGTGACCAACATTCAGAAAGGTCCAACTTTTCCTCACCATCTCCAGTTCCACAATAAACTGAAATTCTGTGTTACAGGGATGAACTTTAAACCAGCGTTAGGTATTCTGTGGAGCTTCAGCTACGAAAAAGGACGTCTCAGAGAAGACAAGGACACAATAGCCAGAGCAACAATATAGCGTCCTTCACGTGGTAGGCATTTCTGTCACTTAAACAGCAGTGTGGTTGCTGAACTGAATATTATTTTGTCAGCTGAGGGTGTAGCACCCTCGAATACCCATCATCAAACAAAACAGTATTCAAACAACCATGAGATTTCCATGCATCCCACCTACACATGGCAAATACAGAGATATATTTTACGAATTGAATGAGCATCCTCTCTCTGGAGGGTCCATCGTGCTTAACTACTGCCGGAAAGTATTAGGTGCAGGTTGGCAAGAGGCAAGGCTTGTGGGAGCCCAGGGTGTGTATTGGAGTAACTGCTGGAGTCTCACTAGCCAAACCGCAAGATGGAAGGATGAGATAGTGGCTCACAAAGGTTTCTGCTCAGCTCCTTAAGCCAGTGTGGAAGGCAGAACAGGCCATTCAGCCCGTCCAGTCTGGCTGTTGCTAATATTCTCCACAAGGGCCTATCGTTGATCAATGATATTTCGGATCGACCAGTTCACGAATAGTTGTTGGAAAACGTTTCTCCCTCAAACGATATAACGATGATTAGTTAACTTAATTAAACAAATTACATTTAAATTATTCAGTGATCACTGGCTCCAGCATTCTTTAACAGCAGTAAACATTTACTAACTGCAAAACCACAACAATTCGCATTTATTTGTGCTATTCGCAAGGAGTGGCATCTCCAACCGCTTAAAACGTGGAGTAACTTGACTGCTTTATTTAGTCCAAAGTCAGAGCTAAGGAGAGACTCACCGTCTTGTCTCCCCGCTGACAGAGCTCCGGTACCAATCTCTAGTTCATTAGCCTCTCAGTGATGTCGCTTCAGTGTTCTGGGCTCTACGGGTAACAACACACCCTGGTCAGAGTCCAGCAATTAACGTCGGCCAGTAAATCATAGCCTCGCCCTGTTCCCGAGGACATTTCCACAGAAACTTAAAATTTACTTGCATTAAAAGTCCTTCTGGTCAGGATTCAATCCCTGAAGCATGAATTTCAAGTAGTTAGCAAACTGGCAAATGGGGGCGTATGGAGAATATGTTTTCCTGCACAGTTGGCTGTTGGGTTATGGAAAGCCCTGGTGGGAATGATGTTTGAGTCAGATTCCAGATTGGTTTTCAAATCATCACTAGATACCGATCTAAATTGAGAGAACTATCTAAAACGGGATTTGGGAAAAGAGCAATGTAAATCGGACTGAAAGAATCGGCAAAAAAAAAGCCACCACAGCCATCCGTCTTCTGTGCTGTACGTCTCGATGTTTCTTTGTTCGTGGGTGTTGCTCAAAAGGTTGTATTCAGGGATTTTCTTAAAAAAAACTATTCAGTAAAGGAAGGAAAAAATATATTGGATACGCCCTTTTTTTTGTGATAAATGTTGTGAAATTTCTCTCATTTTCTCAGTTTCCTCTCACACACTCTCTGTCCTCTCTCAATCATTGGTTCGACCCTCTCGCTCCGTCTCATAGACACTCTTTCACTCTCTCAATTCCTCTCTCTCTCTCTCTCACTCTCTCTCTCTATCCCCTTTTCTCCCACGCACGCCCTCCCTCCACGCACACTACCTTTCCCCTCTCACAGTCTCTCTGTCTACGCTCTCTCGATAACTCACTCCTCCTTTTCTACCTGCTCTCTTTCACAAACACTCTCTCCTCCCACAATCTTAGTCAATTTCTTTCACTCTCTGTCTCCACTTTTTCCTTCTGTCTCCATGTCTCTGTTTCTTTCTCTCACCATCTCTCTCACTCTCACACCTTTATGTCAATCACTTCCACCTCACACACACTCTCTCACTCAATAGGTCTCTCTTCGTCTCTGCCATAGAGTCACTCACTGCCACTCTCTCATCGCTTTGCTTTTTCCCTCTCTTTCCCTCCCTGGCTCTGTTTCTTTCTCTCACCCCATCCTCTCTCTTCCACTCTCGCTGATACAGAGCAATAGTTGGGAATCTGTTTTCACATCCATCATCAGACTAACACCAGCGTGTCTTTGCCACCTCCCACTTCAAATTTACATTTTGATTCATTTTAACAACCCGCCCAGTTCAGAGCATCCTCTGCGCTCTCTACCTAATCTCCTGATCCTGATCTTTGAACCCCTTTTGTGTAACAGTCAGCGAAACGTTATCACTGCCAATGTGCAGTGTTGCCTTTTATGGATAATTTCAGTTAATGTAACTGTGGGTTGGGCTCCGGACTTGGGACCAGGAAGATAGTCCTTGAAAGTCAACAACTTGAGCACCATTTTGTCAAAAATCGTTTCCACTTGCGGAGAAAGAGAAAGAAAATGGCGGCATTCAGTCCGTTTGATTGTAGACTGAAACATAATTTAGTCTTACTTCCTCCAGTGTAAAGAAATTGAGAACCATTCAGCCTCTATAGCGTCCCCATATTCGGAGCAGACTGGTCTCTCGAATTGGAGGGATGTGTTTTAAACTATCGTTGGACAAGCTGCGCCCAACAAAAGAGACGTCTCAGAGGAAGAAATCAAAAGAATAGCAACAACAACTGTATAGTGCCCTTCTCGTGGGTTGCAGCTTGGAGCATATCAGCAGCAGTGTGGTATCTGAGCTGAATTTTTTTGTCAGCCGAGTGTCTGTCCCACCGAAAACCGATCAACAAACCGAACATGATCCAAAACAAAGCTGAGATTTTCATACATCCCAAACTACATATGGAAACTCCAGAGTTAGATGGTTGGAATGGAATGAGCACCCTCCCTCTGGACGGACCACTCTGCTCACTTAATTCGGAGAGCATTAGGAGCAGGTTGGCAAGAGTCAAGGCGAGGGGAGACCAGAATGTGTGTTGGGGTAACTGCTGGAGTCCAACCAACCAAAACCGCAAGGTGGAAGGATTGAGGCAATGGCTGAAAAAAGCGTCAGCACAGTTCCTTAAGGTAGTGCAGAAGAGAACAACCAGGATGATCACCATTGTTAGAGGAATGAACTATGAACAAGGATGAAACAAGCTGAGGCTCTTGGATTCATAGATGCATAGAAATTACAGCTCAGATTCGGCCCGACCGCCTGGCTGTTGCTTAAATTCCACATTAGTATGTTAACAATAGTTCAGATCAATCAAGTTCCCCAATGGATTTCGGAGACCATTTATTTCTTAAACGGTTCTACGATGATTAATTCAAATAACAGCAACAACTTGCATTGATATAGCGGCCAACACGCCGGACAGTGTGTCGGAGAATGTTGGAGTGGTGGAGGACACTATGTGTGAGGGAGGGAAGAGTTGACCGTAAGCACAGTCGTAAAGCGAGATCTTCCGTTTATGAAACAAATGATATTTTAACTCTCGCTCATTCAGTTACTCCTGGTTTCTTTAATTACAATAAATGTTGCATGAACAACAACAACTTGCATTTATATGGGTTGTTCTCTCTGTGCCCTGACAACCTTGTATAACAGTACGACTTTATTTCAGCGACAATCAGATCTAAAAAGAGACTCACCGTCTTGTCTCCCCACTGACTGAGCTCCGGTTCCTGCCTCCGGTTCCTGAGCCTCTCAGTGAAGTGGCTTCAGTGTTCTGGGTTGTACAGGTAATAACAAATCCTGGTCAGAGTCCGCAGCTAATGTCTGGCAGTAAATCATAACCAAGCCCTGTTCCCTTGGAGATTTCCACACAAACTCAAGTTTACCTGATATAAAAGTCCTCCTGGTCAGGGTTCAATCACTGAAGCATCAATTTCAGAGTTAGCAAACTGGCAAATGTAGAGGTTTGGAGAATTTATTTTCTGCACAGTTGGTTGTTGGAAAGCCCTGGTGGGAATGATGTTTGAGGCAGATTCCAGATTGGTTTGGAGATAATCACTCAATACCGATCCAAATGGAGTCAACTATCTAAAAATGGATTTGGGAAAAGAGCAATGTAAATGGGACTGAAAGTATTGGCACATAAACAGCCGCCACAGCCATCCTTCTTCTGTGCTGTACATCGCCATGTTTCTTTGATCGTGGGTGTGGCACAAAAGATTGGATTCAGGGATTTTTTTAAAAAAAGTGATCAGTAAAGGAAGGAAAAAACATATTGGAGATGCCCGGTTTTTTATTGTATTAAATGTTGTGAAATTTCTCTCTCATTTTCTCTTTTTCTTCTCACACAGTCTCTCTCTCTATACTCTCTCTGTCATAGGCTCCCCCTCTCGCTCTGTCTCACACACACTCTTTTGTTCCCTCAGTTCCTCTCTCTCTATCCCACTCTTCTCCCACACCAGCCCTCCTCCATTCACACTCCCTTTCCCCTCTCACAGTCTCTCTGTCTACGCTCTCTCGATAACTCAGTCCTCCTTTTCTCCCTCCTCTCTTTCACAAACACTCTCTCCTTCCACAATCTTAGTCACTTTCTTTCACTCTCTGTCTCCAGGTCTCTGTTTCTTTCTCTCACCACCTCTCTCCCTCTCACCCCTTTCTGCCAAACTTTCCCCCTCACATTTCACTCACATTCTCACACACTCTCTCTCTCAATAGCTATCTCTTTGCCTCTTCCGTACAGTCACTCACTGCCAATCTCTCACCGCTTTATTTCTTCCCTCTCTTTCACTCCCTGTCTCTGTTTCTTTCTCTGACCCCATCGTCTCTCGACCGCTCTCGCTCTCCCCCTCCCCCTCTAAAACACTCCTTCTCACACTCTTAATCACTCACTCACACACTGATTTTTCTCTCCCCCCACCCCCCTCTCCCTGTCTCTGTTTCTTTCACTCATTTACACTCACTCTCTCTCTCTCGCTATCATACTCTCCCCTATTTCTGTCAACCATTCTTCGCTCCAACCTCTTCCTCCCAATTCTCACGCGCACTCTATCTCTTCTATCCTCTCATTCCAAATGCTTAAAACCTGGAGTAACTTTACTGTTTTTTTAACTTTACAATCAGAGCTAATGAGAGACTCACCATCTTGTCTACCCGCTGACTGAGCTCCGGTTCCTGCCTCTGGTTCCCGAGCCTCTCAGTGATGTGCTTCAGTGTTCTGGGCTGTACAGGTAATAACACACCCTGGTCAGAGTCCAGCAGCTAATGTCTGGCAGTATCAAGCCCTGTTGACTCGGAGATTTTCACAGAAACACAACATTTACCTGCTATAAAAGTTCCACTGTTCGGCGTTCAGTTCCCAAAGCATCCATTTAAGACAGACAGACGGACGGACGGACGGACGGACGGACGGACGGACGGACGGACGGACGGACGGACGGACAGACAGACAGACAGATAGCAAATTAGCAAATGAGGAGATTTGGAGAATATGTTGTCCTGCACATTTGGTTGTTGGGTTACGGAAAACGCTGGCGGGAATGGTATTTGAGGCAGAATACATATTGGCTTCCAAAACATGTCCACATATCGATCTAAAAGGAGTGAACTATTTGCCAAATGGGTTTGGGAACAGAGCAGGGAAACGGGACTGAAAGAACTGTTATAAATGTGCCACCACATCCACCATAAACTGAGTAATCTTCGTCTGTGCTGTACATCTCTATGTTTCTTTGTTTGTGGGTGTGGTACAAAATTTTGGCTTTAGGGATTTTTGAAAAACTAAATGTTTGCGAGAAGTAAACATATTGGAGACGCCAATTTTTTAACATTGTGTTAAATGTTGTGGATTTTGTCACTAATTTTCTCTCTTTCCTCTCACACTCTCTCTGTATCACTCTCTCAATCACTCTCTGCCCCCTCTCCCTTTATTTCTCTCACACATTCCTTCCCTCTCTCAGTTATTCTCTCTCACACACCCTTCCTCCCCAAACGACATCACCCCTCTCACAGTCCATTTCCCCTCTCACACTCTCTCTGTCTCCCCTCTCTCTGTCACTCACTCCACCTCTTCACTCTCCTCTTCCGCAAACACTTTTTCCTCCCACACGCTCAATCATTCTCTTTCACTCTCGGTCTCTACTTTCTCTCTCTATCTCTATTTCTTACTCTCGCCACAACCCCACCCCGCCCCCCACTCCCACTCCCGCCCGTCTTTCTCTTTTATTCGGTCCACCATTTCCGTCAATCACTCTCGTCCTCATTTTTCACTGACACTTTCACACTGTTTCTCTTCTTTCAGTCTCTGTAACAATCAATATGTCTCCTCCTCTGTCGAACACTCAATCATTGCCTCTCTATCACTTCTTTGTTACTTCCACTCCCTAAACTTCTCTGTTTCATTCTCTCACCTCACACTCACTCTTTCTCTCTCTTTACTCCATTCCATCCACCTCTCTCCCCCCACTGTCTCTTTTATTTCTTACTCACACACTTACCCACACGCACTCTTTTCTCTCATTCTCTCGCAATCATTCTCCCTCAATGAGCCTCTCCACCACTCTCACACGCACAACGACTCATAATCTCACTCACTCACTCACTCAGTCACTCACTGCTTTCACCATCTCTCTCTCCCTGAATCAATTCATTTCTCTCCTGCCCGTCCTCCCTCCAACACACTCTCCTCCATTTCTGTTAATCGGACCGTCTCTCATTACTCAGCGCACTCTCGCTCTCTCCTCTTTCCTCTCATTTTTCTCAATTTGTCTCGTTTCACTTCTCTTACTCATTCTGTCAAATGCTCTGTGATTATACGCTGCATGCGTTGGACTATATAAAGCATCTGTTGTTGTCTAAGTTAATACAACAAGAAGATTAGTGACGAGTTCTGGTCATTATCCATTTCAGAGTGTGTCACCAATAAAGCTCGTCTCCAGAAACTGTACAGTCTGATACAGAGCAAGAGTAGTTGGGAATCTGTTTTCCCATCCATCATCAGATCAACATCAGCGTGACTTTGCCACCTCCCACTTCAAAGTTACCTATCATTCATTTCAAAAACCCTCCCAATTCGAAGCACCCACTGTGCTCTCTATCTAATCTCCTGATCCTGCTCTTTGAACCTCATTTGTGTAACAGTCAGTGAAACGTAGTCTTCGCTGATATGCAATGTTGACTTTTATGGATATTTTCAGTTAATGTAACTGTGGGTTGGGCTCCGGACTTGGAACCAGGAAGTTAGTCCTTGAAAGTCAACGGCATGAGCACCATTTTATCAAAAATCATTTCCACTTGTGGGGAAAGAGAAAGAAAATGGCGGCATTCAGTCCGTTAGATTGAAGACTGAAACATAACTGAGTCTTATTTCCTGCAGGGTTAAAGAAAGAGAGAAGTATTTAGAAATATCCCAGCTTCTCTATAGCATCCCCATATTCGGAGCAGACTGATTTCTCGAGTTGGAGGGATAAGTTGCAAACTATCGTTAAATAATCAAGAGAGGTTCACCCAGGAAAAGAGACGTCTCAGAGGAGGCAATTAAATCAATAGCAACAACAACAATACAGTGCCCTTCACGTGGGTAACATCTCGGAGCACTTAAACAGCAATGTGGCTGCTTAGCTGAATTTTTTGTCAACCGAGTGTCCGTCGCACGCGAATACAGATCAAACAAACACCAAGAGTGTGTGCTGGGGTTAACTGCTGGAGTCTAACCAGCCAAAACCGCAAGATGGAAGGATTGAGGCAATCCTAATGAGTCAGCACAGATCCTTATGGCAGTGCGGAGGAGACCAACCAGGATGATCACCAGTATTAGCGGAATTGATTATGAGCAAAGATTAGACTAACTGAGGCTCTTAGATTCACAGACGCACAGAATGTACAGGCCATTCAGCCCCACCGTCTACACTTATACTAAGTGTATACTACACATCTGCATGTTAAATGTACGTCAGATAAATGAAGTTCCCTCTATGGATTTTGGAGACCATTCATTCCTTAAACCATACCAAGGTGATCAGTTCAAAGAACGAGAGCAATTTACATTTATATAAATATTATAAATATAATCTTACACAGTTGCAGGTCAAACCAGACGCCAAGATTGTGCACAGGTTCAGTGAGTCTGAGGGAGAGCCCACAGAGGTTGAGGAGCTCAGATCGGTTCAGAAACACTAACCATCCAGTCTCTTCCCGAAGTGAAAGGCACTAATAATAATAATAATAATAATCCTTGCATTTGATATAGCGCTTTCCACGTCGGGAGGACGTCCCAAAGCGCACAGTAATGTCCCACAGACAGTCGAAGATCGAAAATGACCAATTTATTGTTGTTTTGGGTTTTGGAAGGGTTATTATTTGGAGTGTGGAGTAAGGAAACTTGGCCAAGGTTTCGCCCTCTGCCTGGAATTGAACTCAGGTCTCTCGCCTGCAAAGCGAGTGCTCTAATCACTGAGCTACAGGACTCCAAAACTACACCTGTAGTTTTGTTATTGCTGTTGTTGTAAAGGCTAACCTTGAGATGTTCAGGTTGTCGCTGGTTTCTTTCTTCCTCAAAAGCTGTCAAACCAACGGGATTGTCATGAACAGTTTCCACACGATATTTGTCCTTCACATTGAGGGTGATGTGAAATCTAGAAACCACAATAAACCCGCGATGCAATGTGACTCCAGCGCTTGGCTCTCTGTGCGCATGTGGTGATGGATCAAGACGCATTGAATCGGGAAAGCTGTAGTCTTAACCCGTTCCTGACATTTTCTGGCTGTACTAAATTGCACATGTTTATTAAATCTAATTTTCCACAATTTGTATAGTCTGCAATTCGGACTTCACGCGGAGTCCTGCAGCTCAGCGGTTAGAGCTCTCGCCTCACACTCTGGAGGACCTGAACTCCATTAATACAAGAATTATTATTATTATATTCACATAAGTCATATTCAATGTTTGGGTCCAGACGGATATGCTTCTGTGATGATTTATTGTGGTACATTTAGAGGTTTCTGGATTGCTAATATTCATTTGTCTGTTTGATACCTGGAAAGGGCTGAATCTTTTACTTGGCCAAAGGTGTAGAGTGACTAAAGATTCCAACAAAACTCTTCTATTCATTTATTTACAATTTTGAATATAAGTTTCCCAATGGTTTGCGGGGATGTTATTTTTGTGGAGTGATTTAATCGGTGGAGTCCTGTAGCATATCAGTTAATAATTCGTCATTTAATAACAAATTCAATAATAAGCCGCGCATTTGATACGCCGTCTCATCCCGTACCCGAGACGCCTGAAAGCGCTTCACAGGATATATTGTGAAGTGAACTGACTGTATGTTTTGTCGGCAATATATTTGGGTGACGCCCAAATGTATGGGCTGTTTGTGGCCACAGTGAGCAGATTGGATGACTGTAGTGACAGGATCAGCCTTTCGTACAGTGTCAATGTACTGTTTTCCTGGAGCCTCGGATAAAACATTACACTGTACAGTTTGCCCGTCTCCTCGCCCTGCGGTGGGGACAACGGCGACTGTGTCAAACTAAACCATTCTGTATTAATATTGTGTCTGTAACAACAACAACAACAATTTGCTTTTATATGGCGCCGCTGGTGAAGGGGAGGGTCCCAGAGCGCTGGACAGTGGCGGAGCTCGAGGCCGAGCCGAGTGGGAGGTGACCGCAGGTCACTGTCCAACACGAAGCTCTTCACCGCGTCCGGTCATCGGGTCAGAAAAGCTTTGAGTCTCTGTCCGCAGGTTTCACTTCACCGATGTCCTGACAGAGAAGCCGCGGCGTCACTCACACACACAAACCTCTTCCTGTCTCGTCTTTCCTTCTGTTCAGAATTAATGAGGGAATTAAACTTTATGTTTTTGGGGTCAAAAATTCCTGTCTTGTTTGTGGGGTTTACTCCTCGGCGCCGGGAGGCCTCAGTGTGAGGTGTAAACTGTTTAAATTCGCCAATGGCTCCTCACTGTCTGTGTGTGTGACTGGGGGGAGGGGATGACTGGGGGGGTGGGGGTGACTGGGGGGGTGGGGGTGACTGGGGGGTGGGGGTGACTGGGGGGTGGGGGTGACTAGGGGGGTGGGGGTGACTGGGGGGTGGGGGGTAACATGGCCGCACTGTTGTCTGTCTCTCTCTCTCTGTGTCTCTCGTCGACTGATGAACAGCAGCGTCTGACTTTGGCGCCTTTTTTTTCTGACTCGGCGCCTGCGCAGTGGTGTCCCTGAGCGCGAGGCCAACGGTATTTTTTTTGAACTCGGCGCCTGCGCAGTGCCGTCTCCGGGCGCGGGGCCCACG